GATTATGCTAATTTATTAGATCAAATGATGGAACTATATATTAAGATTCGAAATGAGAGAAATAGAAGAATTTTGGAACTATTCCAATAAATTAGGATATTTTGTGCAAAATATGGCAAGCCATTTCATTAATGGTATTATAGACATCTTGGCAGGAATGAATAGTGATAGGTCATTTAGAAAAATCCCCCTACCTTCACCCCCTTTTTTAGCATCCACAGAAGTGTTCAAACGTCAGAACTTCACATCCAACGGTGATCCGTGCCCTCACCGTCACCGGAATATGCCACGAGTTCTCGGAACAACGGATTGTCCAGCATGTTGGAAGTGATCCTATAGCTCTGCCGTGACTTGCCAACGTAGACTGGGTGGAGATTTTTGGCGTACGAGAAGTCATCGTCGGAGAAGTTGGTGGCAACAATAGAGCTGCTGCTTGCACGGCTGAGCTTGAAAGATTGCGTTTTCCTTAGCACCGAGTCACTTACTTCAGTTTTGTGAGTTTGTCCACCCCCCACCTCCGCCTTCCTTTTTTTTAATTTTTTTTGGGAGACTAAGAGGAGAATACGTACAGAGACAGGATTTTTGATTTCCAGATTTTTTTTATATTAAATTATATAAATTTATCATTTTATTCTTTAAAATTGTTTTAAAAAAATAAAATTTTAAAAGTTTGGGATTGTGGCTGGCACATATATAAAATTTGAGTATAATTTGTGAAAAAAAAAAGAAGTTTGGGATCTCAATTGCAATTATTCCTTTTCAATTTTTATTTTTTTAATAGCTAAACTAACGAAATTAGACAATAGGGGGTGAATCACACCTCAAAATTCACACAAAAGGATTTTTCGCACTTTAAAGGTTGTATTCCGCACTCAAGGTTTCAAATAGGGACGCTTTCAGAGGTTTTCAATATGTACGGAGGTATATCGCTCATTATCATGTATGAATTTATTGCTATTAAGCCCAAAGAAAACTATCCCTATATTTTTTTTTTCCTTAACTTAGATTTGGTTGGTGCAATGCTCTCAACATATGGACTTATTGGCAAATATTTCCACTATTTTTTAAATTGGCGAAATACACCTTATATGAAATCTGTAGTGCAGGAGCTTTCTTTTCTTCTATTTTCTCAGTAAATCCTAGTAAAATGACGAATATATCCTTATATTTAAATAAAATAAAAGGAAAATGAGAAAAAAAAATAAAGAAGTAATTTTAATTGTAGTCCAAATTTTTTAAAAGAGTACAAACGAGTTACAAATAAATAATTTTAAATTTAAAAAAATCGCTTCTCTCCTACTAGGCTACCACCATTGTCGGCAACATTCAAATAATGATACACCAGAAAACTCTAAAATAGAACAAAATCAAAATAAATCTAAAAACATAACATGTGTTGTAAATGGTAAGTTTATTATGGTCTGTTAGTGAATGACACTTTGACACCTACAGTTCTAGAAATTATTATCATTGTATCCCCAATTTTTACCTATAAATATAGGACTTTAATTTTTAATAAAATACACACAAGTCTATTGATTTTTCTCTGTTCTCATTTCTTTTCTTCTCTTTTCATAATATGTTATTAGCACTATTCTCTTAAAAAGTAATAATTTTTATAAGTATACTTATTTATCATTTATATCGAAATTAATTTGGTAATTAGTGAATATCAATATCAGTTCGGTCCATATGGAAAACGAATCCGCTGTAACAATTACTTTAAATGCCTACCACCGCAATCAATTCTTTTACATACCTGCCACAATTGTGTATCACAATGCCCAACTTTTGTGTGTCTGCCAAGTCAATTATCATACACGCTATTCCATGGTTTATTAATATATTTAGCTCAGATTTGAGCTCTATTATTCGTAGATTATAATGAGATGAATAATATTTTTTTTAAAAATGAGTAGTTGAAATTTTTTTATTTACGTGTAATATTATTTTATTGAAAATTGTGTGGTTAAAAGTAGAAGAGAAAAAATTTAATTTAATGTAATGAAAAATAATGAGGCTCAAACGAGGCTTAGATGGTGTATAAGAATCATTTTTATGTAAAAATTCATTTTAAAATAACAAATTGATGTGAAACATGTCGTTGAAAAATAAGGAAAAATTTTTATTTATGTGTAATGTTATTTTAATAAAAAATGTGTGATTGTAAAGAAGAGAGAGAAAAATACATTTTGAAAAAAAAAATTGCTACCAAACTGGCATTAGTCAAAGTTGATTTTTTTAATTTTTTTATAATGATTACGTTTTGTTCTTTTGTCAATGCTTGTTGGTTTTCTTTTACGCGTTATTCCATGGTTTCCACAATACGTTATAACTTTACCTTTTAATTTATGAAGCAATTTAATTTAGGTCCATGACTTTGATTCATATTAATTCATGCCTATACAGTTTAGTTACTGTTTCATATAATATAAGAATTTACTTCACAATATTAATTCAGTATTTTTCTTCATTCATTTTCTTTATATATTCAAATTTGTCGCAATTTGTGTTACAGTCGTATAACTAATTGGATAATAACAGAATGAACAACAGATCAACTATTGAATTTATTGCAATAAATAACAGAACGAATAATTGAAATTGCAAGAAATGAAATTTCAAACCGAGGCCTGTGTTACACACAGTTTCCTTAAAACAGATTCGCCCCCTCACCGCCCGTGCTTGAGGTTTAAAATGAGCGTCCGTTTCCCAGGATACAACGGTAAAACCAATAGCTTTCGAGCACCGCAGAAATCACTTCGGCGAACCGAATTAGCACCTGAACTACACCACCACCAAGACAGAAATACAGAAAAGACAGAACTCTATGTAAATGAATTTCCTGTGTATTCTAAACTTAACAGCTTTTACTTTGGTGTATTGAAATGAGAAAATGAGCCACTATTTATAGGCTAGGCTACCATTAATGGCAATAACATTTGGAGTTTCGCATCTTTTTTCTATGTGGGACAAATTCATTTTTCCCACATAAACTCCCTTTTGAGTGGCACCTCAATTTCTCATTCATCCGAGCATCATCTTTGGCAAATAAGTATATGATTTCGATGTACTCACGGAGGAGAACAAAAATCAACTTTTATCTTCCAAATTGAACAACCGGGTCCCACTCAAAACTCATGCCAAAGTCGGCCCATAACTCAGTTTTTTTTTTCCAACACATACATCTAGGGTACCGTGCCCATAAACCTTTTAATTCTTAAAAAAGTCTTATGTATTTTCCTTTTTATTTGCTTCTCTTTTTTATGCATGTTAATTTTACACTTTCTTTGTTGTTCGGAAAAAGAAAATTCCCCCTGGATATCTAGATATGAGTATTACTATGTTTAGATGATTATCCACTTATAAGATAACGATCACATAGATCGATGATATCATTTTTTGAATTTCTAGTAATTTAAGGGAAATTTACCTCCGATATCACCGATAATTTAAGATCAGACCAAGGAATGTATTGTTGAGTTGTGAAGTTAAATTATCTAGCATATGAAAGAGTGAAAAGTGCTTTTGTTCTTAAATAAAAAGTTTCGTGAAGTAAATTCACCGAGTTAAAAGCAAAGCATCTTCTTCTGAAAAGCGTACTGCTTGATGTGAACCTTTAGGAATAATTCATAAAATTGGTTATATCCAAAATAATATGATTCCCTTTATATGAACAATACTTTACGAAAATGGACACTTCATCCATGATTGTCGAGACCTTGAAATTCAGGTTCCATTATTTTCAAGACAATCGAAACTCCAATGCTTTATACATATATCATAATATTGTGGACAGTCCTATCAAAGTTGGTTTTTAGGCTTTGATTTTTTGAATGCAGGATTAAGGCATCGTAAACCCTTTGTTACGAAAACAAGCCACGAACTGTATGAACTCGATCTTGCTATGATCGAACTTCTAGAGCAGCCTATGGCACGGTCAAAATGCGTTCGATGGAACTTCCACCCGCACATTGGAGATTGGAGTGCAGGATACTGGTGAAGGGTGAGCAATAACCATCTTTAGTTTCCAAGTAAAATTAGTTGAGTACATGTATTAAGCCTAGTATGAGCAAATGTAGAAAAATCTCATACATAGGCGCCTTAACTACAAAAACAAAATTCCATAGAATCAAATTGACAGTACTAAACCATCATCAATTCGAGAAATACCTCGAACAAAACATATCAAATCAACATAGATCACATCCAGAATATGATCCTAAATCTGTTGAATATTTGGTTGTTCTCTAGATTCCACTTAGAAAGCAAAACCAGAAGGAAATAAATGTACCACCTAAAGCATCAAATTTGCTTCAACTGCATACAGAAGAGTGAAACATTCAACAGGGATTCGTATCTTAAGATTTGACAAAGTTTTACATTGGCTCTCATAGAAGAGCAGAATATCTATAATATAAGAATTTCCAATTCCAAATGGACGGTGCCAGACATAAAACTCTACTTGGATGAAGCATAAATGAACCATTTCAACGGGTATGATGGAAGATGGCAAAGACTAAGAAGAGAATCGATCTGAGAATATTAGCTGCATTAGCTATAGCAGTAAAAGCCCACCCAAGGCTTTTTATGGATGAATTTATATAGAGCTGCAGTTTGGAGTTTACAACTAAAGCAATGCTTTATGAAATCAAGAAACCATAGCAACAAACATGTAGATCATACTATTTCATCAAGTATAGCACTTGATTAATTGATTGTAGTCCATACAATTTATACTTAGTTAACAGAATTTAGAAGTCCCTCCAATAAAGGCTGGACATCTTTTAAAAGAAATTTCAGACAGCCAAGTTCCCTCAAAGTGTGAAAAAATCCTCCCTCAATATAACAATTTCAAGATAAAACGAGAAAGCAAAGCATTGAGTATCATAGATCAAATAACAGTCTCAATGTAATTCAAGGAATAATGAGAGAAAAAAAACAATATGAACCATCTTCTGAATAAAAAACTTTATCCAGATACAAAGCAAAGAAGATGATAAATGTAAATATGATCTTATATTAATAAAGGCTGAAAGAAACGGCATATCCTTATATTCCTATATTAATCAATTATGTATACTGTCCACATAACTTATTCCCACGAGTTATTGAGCTTATTCAAATCTAACTTGTTCAGAAAAGATTAAACTGGAAAAGGATCTGCTCATCATCATGGCTAATTCAGTATCGAATATCCTCCTATGAAATAAGTATAGTATCAACACTATTTTTTAACCTTTCTAGACTTCTTTTGGCCTGGAACCTCCATTCTTCCAATAGAGCACCCACATCTTGCTCGAAACACCAGAACAGCTCTTCCATTAGGCGGTGCCATTTTCTTCAGCTCAGCTTCCAATTCCCTATGGTGATCACGGGGCAATTCAATAAGTCCCTTCTTCAATCCATTCGTTGCAGCATAGTTGTACATCTTTAGGCGCTCCTCCGTCTCCAGATGCAAATCAAATTCAGCAGCCTTCCGAAGTCCTTTGCAGCCTGGTTTCCCACATCTCCGATCTATACAGACGGCGATTATCACAAGGGCTATTGCAGTGAATAAGATACTAAGTCCTAAACATCCAAACACAATTGGAGCATTAACAATTTCCTCTCTCACTACATCTACGACTTCTTCTCCAAGTTCAACAGTTTTGCGCACTAAATGACTTACAGAAGGATTGAGCAAAACCCCAACTGCACCAATCGTGACAATAAAGAATATTACATCAATCATAGCATAACGAGATTGTTCGCAAGCCGGAATATTCAACTGATTCTGGGAATTGGATGTCTTTCTATTCTTATAGAACTGATTAATTTGCCTCAATTTCAAACAAGGGTCAGCCGAATTCACAGTTTTATCCATGTGTATATGTTGGTCAACTGATATTAGGCAATGGTAAAAGACCATTGGGATTGAAATTTAACCCTAATAACTAAAGATTGAATATTCAAGAAATACCCACCAATCGATAACAAATTCTGAATCAGACCCACAATTCTGAAGTCAATTTCCAGATCAACACCCTTGAAGAATTGTGAAAAAGATTTGATTTGAGTCCACCTGAAGATCGGGAATACTTGATGACCACTGGAGATACCTGATTTTTCTGTATAGTCAACTAAAACTTTTACACAAATTATAAGATCGACACCATACAGCAAAAACGTAGCTAATTGTGAAATTTGATGGGGGTAGATTTTAGGATTTTGGGCGGCTTTTCAGAGGGGTTTCAGGTTTGGGAGCAGAGACAACAACGAAGCATCGTGAAGTCATATTTGTCATCCCATCGATATCGAATATGAATGGCTCAAAAGTTTGGGCAATTTTTCCAAGGGAGTCCTTTTCAGTGGTATAATTGAATTAAATTACATTAAGCCCCACCCCGCGTTTGACCCTATTTTTTTAAAATGAGAATGGGTGGAATAATTTTTTTTTCTTTAAATGAATGGCTGAAAAAGAAAAAAGTATTTTTGATTTACTTGTAATATTATTTTATGAAAGATTATATGGTTGAAAATAAGAGGAAAAAGTGAAATGGAATGGGAGCCAAACGGGGGCTAGTTTTTACAATTACGTTATAGTGCTCGGGTTTTTTTAACAGAGGGAGCAATCGACTCTCACAATGGCGGGGTCCCACCTTTTTTGTGACTTTTTTATTCACGGGGAATTCACGGCATATGAGAGTGCCAACCATTCAGGCAAAAATTCAAGCAAAGTAGCAAAATTCTAATTTTTATTAAACCTCTGTTTGACCATTATTATTTTTAAACTTTTTTTTCTATGTACTTATTTTTAAGCACACATTTACAAAATAAAATATTCAATACAAAAATTTAAATTTTTTTATATTCTACTAAAAATCATCATTCAAAACTCTATTTTCTTCGAATAATGGTAGACTAAAAATAGTTTTCCTCCATTTCCATTATTTAATTTTAGGGTTGTTGGCTGCGTGTGTAACTCGGCATGCGATAGAGTTTAGAATTGGGCATTGTGGATATTTGAAAGTCCAATTTGAAAAGTAAGATGATGATTGAAAATTGATTAACTTTTGAAGACATGGAAATTATTTTACGCGTTCAGTCGTCATTCTCAATTATTGTAATTATTATTATTATTATTTTCTGATTGTACTATGTACATAATAAATTTAAATAATAATTTAGCCCCTGTTTGACCCCATTACCTGAAAATGAAATTGGGGAGAATAGTATTTTTTAGAAAAATGAGTAGTTGAAAAAGAAGGAAAAGTTTTCGATTTACATGTAATATTATTTTATGGAAGATTGTGTGATTGAAAATAGGAGAGAAAAAAAATATAATGTAATTTAATTTAATAGGGATCAAACAGGGGCTTATATATATACATGATGTGGTAAGATGTGATTGATTTATAATTTTTTCAAAAAAAAAAAATGAAAAATGAAAAAAATGCAACTATCTTTTTGATATTTCATCTGTATTTAAATTATAATGTAACTGCTTATATAAGTAATATTATTCATTTTTATTTGATCTTTAATTTTTTGCAACATTATTTTTGACCTTTTATTAATAGTCTCCGTAATCATAGCTTGTGAAAGATGAAATTTTGTTACGGAAAATCTGCATCAAAATCTTAAGAAAAATGTATTGGATTTGGACTTCTCAAACACGAAAATAACTCGAGAAAAGGGAGATCGAGTTGAAAACTAAGGGCATGTTTGGGCCCCTTTTTTTATCCAAAAATTGATTTTTTGATCGTTATTTCATTATTTCAGCCGTCATATTTGACTTATTCTCTCACAGATGAACCCCATTTTTCTCCTAACGGTCAAAAAATCAATTCTCAAAATAACTCTCAAATAGACTCTAAAGCACGATGATGAGAGAAAGGGATAAGGCTATTTTTTTTAATGGAAAAATTCAAAAAATTTGGGCTACGTTCGTTAGGGCCATACGATTAATCACTTGTGAAAATTACACAACATACCTATCATATGTTAATATTCAAAGGAAAATGCCAAACAAACATAATGGTTGACGCAAAGGATGACACCACGCTCACAGTCGAGTTGTGGATCCCACGCGAATAAAATAATGCCGACCTTCCATGTGAGTGTATTTTGTCAACCAATGTGTCAAACTTTATGGTAGTGTAGCATGATTGATATTCAAATATTACTTTTGAACATTTTTTCAACATATATACTTTATTATAACAATAAAAAACTGAAATTACAATCAATTCATACAGGCAATTATACGATAGCCAATTTCACTCCGCCAAAGAAGCCTTTCTAATTATTTTCCCAAGTTGATAACTCCTAAATTGGTGTAAAATCCCTTTCTAACCTCCTCAAAAAAACTGAAATTACAATCAATTTATACAGGCAATTATACGATAGCCAATTTCACTCCTCCAAATAAGCCTTTCTAATTAATTTCCCAAGTTGATAACTTCTTAATTGGTGTAAAATCCCTTTCTAATCTCCTCAAATCCACTTGAACGATTATGCGCTCTGAAGTAGGTTCTTCGATTGGATCAATGCATGTATGAATCCCAAATAAAATCCCAAAGGTCTAGTCTAGAAAAAATCCGAATTTTGTTAGGTTATCTTTGTGGTAGGAAAGACGGCCATCTCATGATAATTACTAAAAATGGCATCATGTGTAGAATGAAAAAAAAGCAATACATGACAGGATGAATTCCCCCAACGATGTTTGAAATATTAAACCAATTGAAACACGGAATCACATCATACATATCATTGAAGAAGGGTACCGATAATTTATTGCTAGATTTTATTTCGAAGATAACAATATCTGATGTCTTTTAAATTACAAATGACAATATTATGTATGGATAAATAGGATTCATATCTATTCGAAAATATAACCACTATATTCGATGTTGGTTTAATTGCATAACATATATCAGTTCTCACAATATTACAAAGTAAATAGCAGATTTAATCGGAAGAAAATTTAAATTGTCTCGTATGAAATCTGCATCATAATTTGTCGACGTCCCAGAAGATGTTTACTGATAGAGAAGATGCTCAATATGTTCTCTGGAATAGATGGTTGTGTTTCCACCATTTTACTTTTGTGTTTCATGACTAAAAATGGAACTCATTAATGTCCAGCATGAAGTCTGGTAAATTTAATATATGTAAATTACAAATGTGGTCTGGGATATATATTTAGAAGTTAGTATTTTTGAAATAATTTACATATAAGTTAGTACTTGTGGACCCCAAAAAATGTCGCTAATAGATCCCCAATCTCATCCACCTCTAAACCTGCACTCGGAACGCCCCGTTAGAAGGCAAAAGCCGTCGGTCGAGAAAAAGGTCCGACGATCGTTTGCACTCCGATGATCAAGTCAACGGCTGGATGAAAAGAAAATAAAGAGTCGAGAGAGGGAAATTGGCTAGGATTTAGAAAACGTCCCTTAATTATGAAGTGAGTCCCGTATATATAGAGAAATAATGACGGGCCTAGTGGGTTAAAGAAATGGGCCAAGTCCATTGAGGTCCAATATGAAATAGGTATAATAGTCCTTAAAGTTATATTTTCATTACGTAGTAAAGTGTGAATTCTTTTTTAATATAATTTTGTTACATGTATAACCTGATTTACACTTGGACATACAGAATTTATACTTGACAATATTTCACATCTCACAAATTGAATCTAGTCGTTAGAAAACTGCCACGTAAACAATCTATCGAGATGGTGTAAGATAAAATATACAAATAGCTTAATTCTTTTTAGTAATAGGACATATACGAATTTTTCCGTAATCATTTTTCCATCATTTCTCAATTATTTGTGATGATGTTTGCTGTTGGCCCAATTGGTTCCACTTCTGCCTTGTTTAGAATCATTAAAATGTTATTAGATGATTTTTCTAATAAATCACCATTTTTTTTCTCAACAAATTATTCCCATTAAATTGCGATACTTAAAATTAGAGTAATACGCAAAATTTAATTGGTGAAATAATCAAAGGGATAGCTTCAAATTTTATGACTGTATTAATCAAAGTTTTTTAATTAATAGGGAATTTACAAGTACTAAAAAAAATACGTTACTGTGTAGTTGGATCAGAATATTTTATTATAATCTTCACTTGCGAATTTCTTGAATTCGACGGTAGTTTAACCATTCTCTTATGTTTTTTTCTCTTAATCTCATATATTGATATTTCTTAGTAAATTTTATTGACATTTTCGAATTTATTATTTTTTTTCTCATCTGAAAATCTTAAGTTCAAGAACTTCCTTTTGCTTTTATATTTGTTTTACCTTTTTAGCGAGATTATAGGTTGTGGTTATCAATTTAAAATTTTGAATCGCGAATGTTTTGGTTAATTATGTACAATTTAGGAAGTCTTCCATATCTTGTAGGATTTCCATTGTTTCTATTTCATTGAAAGAACTCGATTCCGATGAGATATACTGTAATTTCTTAGTCATCGAGAGCGATTTTTCTTCTTAAATTATGAAATCAACCATATGAAGACGCTTAAATTTGCAATTCATCCTCAAGAATATGATGTCAACAAGGGGTGATCTTTCCTTTTAACTTAGTAATGGGAGCTCCTAAAAAACAACAACATTTGCGACTCATCCACGAAATTTACCACGAAATTCACATGAGCACGATGCACTAGCACGGTTGATTGAGCTATGAAACAAATGAGATAATTTTGCTATATTAAAAACAAAACTTTCATTTAAGTACGATGGCCAGTTAAATATATTATTTTCAAGTAAGTGATCTAAAAACTTTTTCTTTACATATTTCGAAAATCGCGCCAAATAAATATCTAAAAAGGCATAAAAATCATCAATGAAATATCAGTGTCTAAACTGTGCGTCAAAAGCAAGTTCATAATTTTCATTATTTAAATTCTACGTTTTATCTCAATATAAAGATGAAGAAATGGGCAATAGAGTTCTGAGTTGAAATAATACAATGGTCATTAATAGGAAAAAATTGAATATTGATGATAAAAAAATGCAAGTGAACATTTGTTTTGTATAAAAATCAAGCCACCGGGAGAATATTCCTTAGTTGAGGTAAAACCAAAATAAAATCAACGTAAAAGTTACGCAGACGAATAGGCAATATATATTTTGGCACGAGGTCCAAGACGCATGGAATGTTTGACTTAGGTTGCAATGCTATAGGAAAATCCTCAACTATGTCATGATCAACAATGTAGAATATTCATTAAGCTCAATCATAAAAAAATTCTTGTGATGAGGAATAAACACAACCAAACTTTGGAAAGTGACTATTGGGACTAGGTTGGGAGACTTAGTA